TAAGGAACAGGTAGAAGTTCTCATTCCTATTCGGCCTACTAGAAAGCGTGAAGAAGGCAGGGATACTGTTGATAAAATTGCCTAAGAAATTGTAGAAAATGATTATCAGTCTGAGAAAATAAAACAAATTTCATATGATTTGGGTAGTTCCGCACCTAATCCAGTCGCAGGGGGTTCTCGGCTTACTTTATTGCGAAAAAAGTTACAGAATCGTGGAGCTGATCATCTCAAAAAAGAAGCAACAAAAATTCCTTATATTACTACTGAATTAAATAAAATTCAGGCACGACGGCTTGTACTTGACAAATTTGAAGGTGTCAATTGGCCTGAACACTTCTTCTTAGAACTGGTTCAGAAAGACTCGAGAAATGTGATTTTTCCTTATCACCTTCTAAGGAAGATTTGGTTGACGTAATGATAATGTTATGCATGCGACCGGCAGATGTTGCTGGTCTTTGTATTGATAGATATGAAGCATCGGACGAAATCTGGTATGATCCTGACTATTCCTGGTATTGTACTGATTACTCTAAAACTAAAGAAACAGGAGTAGGGGAACCCTGGCCTTTTCTCTCAATGGAAAAGGATCCAATACGAGCAAAAGAGTTTCTTACTTGGATCCAGAAAGCAATACCAGAAAAATTTTCCTTCTTACGAAAAAACAAAAGCAATATAGTTAATGTAAATTCAATTAATCTAACTCTAGCTAAACATGGAATTACTTCGAATAAATTGAGAAAGATAGGAGCAGATCATGCTAGCAGGATCCATGGAGGTAGAAACGATTCTCACCGCCAATATTTACGAAAGTTGGCTTGCAGACAAGTAGTAGGTCGTTATGAATCAGTAGAAAGTTATGGCGTAATGAATGACCCACCTTCTTGCAATTGTTCGAAGGCATTCCAGAAAAACTAGGTAAAGATAAAAGAAAAAGTAGATTAACCCTGATAATGATTTGTATATGTCTGTCCGATCAGGTAAAGATATTTAAGCTCTTCGATGAAAACTAATCACATAGTGAGATAGACATTATTTATTAAATTTTATTTTTTTGCTTGAGGCAAGATCTAGCATATATAAAATATCACAAAAATGGTAGCTGATCAAAATCATTCACCCGATAGTATACATAGCGAGCAGGAAGTTATCAGGCATACAGAAAATATAGCCAAGTTATTAGGGCTAGATGAGCAAAATGCAGAAGCATATAAAGCATTCTCTAGACAGATTTGGGGGCTCAAGAAACAATTAGAAAATTATCATTTCGAATATATAAAGCTTAAAAGGAGGGTTAATTCATTGGAAGCTGAAATAGAAGATCTGGATGAATGTGCAGATATGGAGACTGTGATCGACTTAATACATGAAATAGTTCCCTCGATAATTGCTAAAAAAAGGGCTAAAAGGCGCTGTGCATAAGGGTTCCTCCTATTTGTCTGAGTCTTCCGAAGAATCTGATTCAGTCAAGACAATTGTGATAAGAGAAAACGAGGCTATCCCTCATAAGCAACGAAGGAAGGCACGACCAAAAAGGTTAAACGGTTGATGGTTTAAAATGGGTCGAGTCAGAGGTTTGAAGAATCAGGCGTTGAATAGAGATTTATTTTTGAATATTATATACGTCATAATAAAATGGTATTCGTGAATTGTGTAATCAAAGAAAATAGTCCCACCCAGGCATCAATTGATACATGCACCAATGTAAATTGCATTAGCCAAAAACATATTGGTGAATTAGGAATTGCATATCATGATGAAAATAATAGCATTAAAACTCTGGATACAACCTATTCCACAATAGGAAAGGTTGATCTGCATATCGGCTTTAATGATGGTGAGAAACATAAAAGCATACCCAGTGAATTCATAGTTGTTGGACCAGATTGGCCTGATTATTTTCCTGACTTAGTATTGAGAGGGCCATGGTTTCGAGAAAATGGTGCAACTTTGGATATATGCGATTCAAAACTATTATTAGACGATAATTTTGCGATCCCATTCAAAGAAGTAAAATGAGAATAACAATCTGGAGCAGGCCGAAGATGCTTTGCATAATAGTGTAATTTTATTTTTTGTTTAAAGATACAATATATAATACAGACTATTTAGCCAGAGGCGCTTCGCATGACGCATTTAACCATCTTTTATTTACCAAAAGTACTAGAACATATTTTACATTTCTTATTGATAGATAAATCCATCTACCCCGCTTTATATGTTTCCCAATTGTGGTACAGATGCGGTGCCCCTATTCTATGGAGACGCATTGAGCTAAAGGGAAAAGACATATCCTGGACAATCTCTTTCAAATGATTATAATTGTGTAAAGGATCGCTCTCGATTAAATAAATTCATAAGGATAGAACGTGCAAAGGATCTCTTTCGATTGAAAAAATTTATAAAGCTAGTACGTAGAAAGCAAACGCCAGTTTATTGCTCAAATGTAACTCATCTCGAAATTTCATACTACCATTCACTTTCAGATAAAAAAATCATAAGAATTGTACATTCATGCCCAAATATAACCCATTTGAGTTTTGAAAATAGCATAGAATTTAGTAATAGGACATTAGAACTGATAGCGGGTTCATATCCGAATCTGAAGTATCTCAATTTATGTGATGATCAATCAGAAAACTATAGGATCTATCGTGTTTGAGAAGTATATGATCTAAGTCTATCGAAAATTGCAGGATCCTACCATAAATTAGAATATCTGAATATTTCTTACCGCACAGAATTTACCGAACCATTAATTTGTAATATTATTCGTTCCTGCCCAAAGCTTCAGTGTCTTAGCCTTAACTTTTGTGAAATTAGCAATATGACTATTGAAGAAATCACTCATTTGTATCACTTTTTAAAATATCTTAATCTGAAGGGGTGTTACAATATTAGTGAAAAGGTTATAGATCAATTCATTTCACTTAATCCAAATATCCATATTGTGAAATCGAATGGAGCCGAAATGAAGTAACAGTGACAGGCTAGAATTCGCCAACAGAATTTGACACAAAATATATATCAGGCTATTGCATATCTAATCACTTCCAATCCAGGGCTTCCTACCAATCTAACTAGTCTGAGGTAGTATGCCAATAATTTCCCCGAAGGTGCTTTTGCTAGGCAGGATGCTGTTGTTAATAATCAGAATTTGGTTCTATCTCAGTTTTACCGGGGTCTTAATCCCAACACATCTCATATAAACTGGCAACCTAACAGACGATCATCAAGGAATGGTCCCGTTGGGATCCTGCAGAATGGTGGTACTCTACCGATCTAACTAATCTGGAGCGGTGATCATCGATTTTTGCTGAACCTATTATGTGACAAAAAATATAGATTAGCTAATTTGTTTTAGATACGGACACTAGCTGAATTTTTCACACAATTGAAATAATGGTAGTTACTTTCCAGTAAAATAAAACATTTTTACTTCCTATTGATGAACTTCTGTATTATCACACTTGGAACATCTTCTAAGGGACTGTCTAAACTTTTGAAGATATGCTCTTGCATTTTTATCAGCTTCTAATCCACTTATTTCTGAATTAGTATAACCGACAATACCAAGATCATTCTGAATCACGCTTATTTTCTCTTCTAAATATAAAAGCAAATGATATAATATTCCAAGTGGCATTTTCCTAAATGTTCCTTTCTCAAGGTCTTGTATATTTTCATATAATATAGTAAGAATAGGCTGGCAGGTCACATCGAGATCTCCTCGTATATCTATTAATTCTCCCACTAAATCAAATAATAATCCAAACGAATCTTTAAGTGTTTTTCCTTTTTTGCTTTAATTCAATGCTGTTTGATTTCTATTCTCAATAGGTTCCTTCTCCCGGTCTAGATTCATACCGAGTTTTTTCTGAATAGCTATTATATCTTCCTTTTTATATAAAAGCAATTCATATAAAAGCTCTTCATGTAGCTTATCATCGACTTGATCAGAACTAGTATTAGTATTGCTTGTCATGATTGTGTTTATCTCTGGTTAGCATACATTCAATTTTGAGTCCGAAATACTGCTCATCAGCTCAGAGTAGTGATCTTCAGATCAGAAGATTTGTTGAGCCATGCACAGCACCTTCAGCCAAATTGTGCGACAAAAATAGGCTGATCACATAATAGGTCTGTGCAACATATTAATTTTGCATATATATTTGCTAACCAATACCTCTATCTTTTTTTCTCCCAAACAAATGTGAGAAAATATGAAAGTAAGTCTATACGTAATACAGGACATACTTTAAAAGCAAATAGTATGGACAAAAACATATGAAAGGCTGAGGGTCTCGCAATTTTGAGATCGCCAGGCATAAGACCAATGCTTAATATCATAATTTAATAATCGGCAATTAGGAATGTTCCCCCATGCTTATCTGACATGTATAGGAAAAAATTCATAGTGTAATTGATAGCTGAATAATGGAAAATCATTTTACCAAGAAAATCAACTAGCATTTTAGTAATCAGCATATATGTGGTTCAGTGTAGGGTGTGCTTTAATTTAAGAACCTCTTTCTTGGTTAGTAAATAAAATAGAAAAAAAAAGATAATTGAACATATTCAATAAAACATCCGGTCTGATATCAGATTGTCATTCTTTAAAATGAATACTGTCATATTGTTAAAAAAGACCGTACTTTAAGCTAAACTTGATAAAGTTTAGGAAATTTCCTATTAATTATCTTGAATAACCAAAATTTTTAATTTCGTATGATTCTGAATTACGTTTATCAATGGATAAAAAAAATACTTTCAGAAACTTAATTCCCTGAAATGATCCGCTCATCTTTCTTCTTTAGCTTATATTCACAATCCATTTTTTTCTCATTCAATCTAACAACGTGATTATTCCAAATTTCTTATATAAATAAGAAAGAAAAGTGCTTATTAAAAATTATTAAAATTATTTTAAAAAACACATTAAACTTACTATGCGATGTCCTATTTCTTTCACTTTTATTATCATTGTAACCATTTGTAGCTTAATGAATATCATAGCTTTGATGCTAGCCACTGAAGGTAAAAAGCTCTGAAATATTTATTAGTTTCTAAATACAGTGATTTAATTTATTTAATAATATATATAGCATATGAGGTTCTACTTAAGAATTAGGGTGGTGATGATAAAGGTAATTATATCTGATTTTATTGAGCTAAATTTCATAAGTGATTTGATATCATGTATATTTTTTGATTTTAATTTAATTTTATTTATGTACAGCGTATTGTTGTGTTTGGGAGGAGGATGCTCAACACAAATTCATAACTTTTATACCTCCAAATATTCCAAATAAACCGTCATATTATTATTATTCCGGTTGTGTGACCTTTAATGATATGGAACAATTTCGTGCAGATTTAAGAAATGGTATTCTTACTTATCAAACGTTAGATCATACTGGGTTAATTTTGGCACCGATTATGCTTGGTCAGTTTTAGGTGGTTATAACAAAGATACCTGTTTTCACATATATGGTATAGAACACAAAGCAGAACTTAATGAAGCATCTTACGAAGAATGTGAAAAAATCAGAGATTCATAATAAAACCGCATATCTTTATAAAAACAATGCATCAATCATTGGTCTTGTATAATTTACTTTGCAGAAACTAATTATATCATAAAAAAAAATACTCTTCAATATCAATATTTATTAATAATATGTATCCTGGGCTACGTCCCAAACATTGTATTTATTTAGTTAATAATCCTCTATTTTATCTAAATTAATCTAGCGTGCAATGTGCATTCAAATAATTACTCATAATTTCTACTTCCTGATATTTAATAAAGAAATGTTTTACCTTTATTAGATTCTTGTCTTAAGCAAATTTCAGCCGGGATGTTCCAGTCAAAAAACACATTTTTTTATTTGAATGCTTATATACATTATATTAGTTATATATAGATCATATCATCCGAGCTTGAATTATTGAAACAGCGTATTACTGAACTTGAAGCTAAGAATGACAAGCTTGAGGCTGAGAATGACGTAAGGCAATAGCTCTACTAGTAAATATTTCAAGTACATAAAACTTTATGCTATGCTCACTGGTAAAGATTTGGATGATGTAGACATTAAAGTAAAATTCATCAGTGGATTATCATCCGATAATAAAAAGCGCACAGAAGAGTTTGGGTTTAAAAAACCTTTAAAGATATAGTCAAATATTTAGTTAGAGATTCAACACTTTCTACCGAAATACAGAAATACAAAGTGAGGGAGCCGAAATAAGGTAATGAATCGGTAAGGCCGTAAGGGTATTTTATCAAAAATTAGAAAGGCTTAGAAAGCTTTCCAGATGTGATAAGGAAGATCTTAGAAAAAAATTATTTTGCGGAATTTCAACTATAAATCAAGATGAAGTCAAATTATAGGGATGAATCTTCCTTTGGATGAGTTAATAGAAAGGCTTAAAACACTACTGAATAATATAGAGTGCTGATCACCAGCTCAGAAGAATTTGCTGGGCCACTCCTGTGCGACAGAAAAATAAGTGGATCATCAGACAGATTGTGCGACATATTAATTTTTGCATATATATTCGAAAAAGAAAACATACTAACCAGTACCTATATTTTTTCCCAAACAAATGTGAGAAAATGTGAAAGGGAGCTTTAGTTGCAACACAGGACCAGCTCTAAAAGTAAATATTGATGGCAAAAGCATATGTTAAGAAAGGCTGAGGACTTTGCAATTTTCGAGATCGCTAAGCATAAAACCAACTATGTCTTTCTGGTAGATCTACATGTGAAGAGGTATGAGGATTCCGTTTACATGTGCTTTCATAGAACTCTTGGCATCATACGACAATGCTAATTACGCCTCATACCTCCTTAACTTTGGTTTAGTGCTCTTTTTCCTTCCCAACAGCAAGATATAAAGCATGTAGGGTATGTGAAAGTTCAGCCAACCTTCCTGCAAAAAATTTAAGGTATATACAGTATATATTCTTTAATGCGAGTGGGCCAAGGAATTTTCTCACAATGTGTCTTGTATTTAGGAATCGAAATGGACTTAGAAAAAATCACTTTCAATTGTCTTATCGTTCCTATAGGAAAATTCTCAAATATTCCATGTACTAAAGTAATACAATCAATTACAATTTATATATATGGTTAGAGTTCCAGACGAGTCAAGTTAACTCACGAGTCAGATAAGCTGAGTCGAGTTCAAATCAAGTCGAGTTGGTGTTTTTTTTGACTCAATGATTTGCGAGTCAAGCCAAATTCGAGTCGAGTTAAATATTTAACTCGACTCGATTTAAACTCGACTTGATTCGAG